TTACATTTAAATGATACATTTGATAATGAATATATTGATTTTATTTTTTTTAAATAAAATATAATATTTATTTGTTGCAAAATTTATTGTCAAATATTTTGCAAACAAAAATTTATTTATAAAATTTCAAATAATTAATTTAATATTGGTTTTTAATGTTGTAGAATGAAATTATAATTAATTTTAAGATGTAAGCGATTAATTATTAAATTTGGGTCGATTAATTATTAAAAAAGATGTGGAAAATTTCTTTTTAATGAAATTAAACTGTAAGAAAATTTGATCACTCATAAAATAGTGTAAAAGGATTACTGAAGATCTCCCTTTTGTAACAATATTAAACATGTTTTGAAAAAATATATAAGGATAATAAAATAATAATCATCATTAATGTAAAACAATAAACATCATTAATATAAAACAATATTCATAAAACAATGATCGTCATCAATACGAAACAATAATCATCATTAATATAAAACAACAATTATAAAACAACAATTATCATCAATATAAAACAATAATCATCGTCAATATAAAACAATAATTAGAAAACAATAATTATCATCAATATAAAACAATAATCGTCATTAATATAAAACAATAATCAGAAACAATAATTATCATCAATATAAAACAATAATCAGAAAACAATAATTATCATCAATATAAAATAATAATCATCATCAATATGAAACAATAATCATCATCAATATAAAACAGTAATTATCATCAAATATAAAACAATAATCATCATCAAATATCGCTCTTATAATGAAAAGAGTTAGAAGATTCTTTTTGGATAAAATAGATTTAGGTTGTTCGAAGACAAAAAAAAATGATTTCTTGAAAATTTTATTTAAAATAAACTAAAATTATTGTGTTGTTCCATCAAAAACAGTTAATTACTGTCCATTAAAACAATAATTAATTAAAACAGTAATAATAAATTGTTATCCCATCACAATTACTCATTATATATATATATTTTCTAATACAATAAATCAATTCATTTTATTTTTTGCAACAAGAACAAACATTCAATAAATATGTAAATAATGCTAATTTGTTATAAACATCATATCGTATTAGAAACCTTTAAGGCTTAGGTAAATACTTTTTTTATAATTAAATAATCATCATCAAATATCTATCTTATAATTAATAAAAGTTAACATTTAACAGTTTTCCTATATTTAACAATTTTTCTTCCTTTTTTACGTTGTTGTGAACATATTTAAAACACAGTAAAACAATATGAAAAAATACGATAAAATATTTTAAATTATAAATTATGGAATGGCTCGTATAAACAGTAAGGCATTCGATAAAGTTTAATAACGATAAAGAATAATGATAATAATATAAGACATTCGATAAAGTATAACAATAATAATGAGAATAAGATAAAGTTTAACAACGATAATGAATAATAATAATAATAATAATAATAATAATAATAATAATAATAATAATAATAATAATATAAGGCATTCGATAAAGTTTAGCGATAATGAATAATAATAAATAAATGAAAATTAAAATTATAATACATTTTTGCTGAATGCAGTAGTGAAATATTAAAAACAAAGAAAATAATTAACTATCGACTGTCACTCAATCTAACACAATAACCAAATATATTGACTAACTATTAGTTTCCTTTTTTAATTTGAGATTATAAATTTAAGGAAAAGAAAAAACACTTCCTATATTTTATGAAAATCATATCATATCCATATTTACATTATTATTGTTTACTTCTGACTATTTTATATAATTAGGTTAGATTTCAAAATAGCTTTAGAATTTAACTTAATAAATTTAGTTTTGAGGAAATATTTACCGTTTCTTTTCATCTAATAAAAAAATTAAAATATTTAATTAATTAATGAATTAAACAGAATAGGTTTAGTAGCGCTGTAGCATCGGAAAAAAACCTTAATTTTAGTTATATGATGAAATCATTTAAAACATCAATCAATACTAATACTACTGCTACGATATTGCAATACAGTATTACGAGCAACACATAATACTGTACTCGAATACCGTAGTAGTTTGGAATACAGTAATGTGAGAAACGTGTAATACTGTAGTCCAATATCATAGCAATATTAGAATGTAGTATTATGCATCGTCCATATACGTTATTGGAGATAAAAATAATATGAAGAAATTTTTTTTAATGTAATAAGTTGAGAGTTAAGTTAGGAGGATAAGAATATAAAGGATATCTTGAAGGAATGACATAAGAGGAATATGAAGTAAACAACAACAACAAATATTCGTATCATTTATCATTACTCATGAATGATATGACAAGTATGGACAAATATTTATTGTACAAAGTGTTGAAAATGATTCGTGGAAAAGTCTAATTTGATTTCTACCAAGCTTAAATAAGGTAATATATCAGTTATCATTGATATCGTTTGATAGTGAATTTAAATTTGTTATTTAAGATTACTATCAGAATTTAATGGAGTGTAAACTTTTGAAGTTTAATTTCAACGATAATTCAAACTTGCAAAATTATCAATGTTGGAAATTTCATGTTATCATGAGCGCTTTTTTAACAACTGTAGAATTATTTGTATTCTTAGTTGAAATTAAAAATTATCAAAAATAAAATAGCTTCGTGTAAAATATTAATTAGTAGAAGATATTGATTATCAATACTAATATTGTAAAAATGAAAATGATCTGTATGATTATTATAATATCTATAGAATTAATTGTACTCTTAATTGAAATTGAAAATCTTCAAAAATAAAATAGCTTCGTGTGAAATATTAATTAGTAGAAGATATTGATTATCAATACTAATATTGCAAACGTGAAAATGATCTGCATGATTACTATAATATATGCATTGATAATAATTTTCCTCTTGCAATATTAAAATCATTAAAAGAATTTATTTCAATAAATTAAAATAAACAAATTCTTTTTCATCCTCAATTTTATTTACCACATTTTTCCTAAATTATTTCATTGTTTTAGAAAATAAATTAATAGTTGGAAATTTTCGATGACTTCTTTTTCTATTGTTTTTGTTTAGGAGTAATTTAAACTTTGTGTGATTTAAACAGTAATCTATATTTGCTTCTTTTCATTTTCCATTTACTGATAGTATTACAATTTAATATTCAGTGATAAGCTAAATTTAACTGTTAAAAATATTAAATAAAATTGAAAGGGTTGATAAAAACATTGTATAATGAAGAGAAAAGGATAAATATTACAGGTAAATATTACAGGATAAATATTACTGTTGCTCCCAAATAAAAACAATAAAGTGGATAATGGAATTCATTTAATAACTATAAAAAAGCTATGTTTCAAATTTGACATTGATATTCATTCTTTTCAATTCTATCAATAATTAACTTGCACGATGTCTTCTCATTTAGGCTTGAAAGAAGTATACGCTCATCAAATGTGACATTACGACAATCATTTTCAGATCTTACAGCGATCACGTCACTTCTTTCGAATACTGAAAAATTGTTAGAGTTAAGTACCTCAAATAATTTTTGATATTTCATCAGCAATGAATAATGCAATATCTTTAACTTAATTATCTACCGCATTAACGTAGTGGTTCAGCAATTCACATAATTAGGCTTATAATTTCATCACAAAATTAAACTTGTAATTTGTACCTATGAATTCAGATTTGATAATTTCAAGAACAGAAAATCACTGATTTCGATTTACTTTAATTTTTTGTTATCTAATTTACCTTGCACTACTTTAATCAAAAATCAACTGTAATTAATTTTGTCAATTAACAAATAGAATGCACTCGAATCATATTAAAGAAAAAAAGATTTCCCTTTCGTTCATTTTCAATTTTATTTTAAGTATCATATCCTAAACCTTTATTATTCATCCATAATACAAATAAAACTGTTAAAAGTTTTATGAAAAATCACGAATCGAGTTGTAGAGAAACGGGATGAAAATTCACGAACGGTAGGAATTAGAAGTAGGGGAGTGCAGCTGAATTTTTTGAATAGGAACAGAAATCAGAACTCAATATCAAAAGTAAATTCATTCCTTTTGAATTCTAGCGAGGAAAAATGAGAAGGATACCAGTTTAATTGAAATTCAGTGAAAATTATTAAAATCACGATAAAACACATTATTCCGCTGGATTTACAAATAAATTAAACTGCACATATTGACTATTATTGCAATCAATGAACAAACAAATTGTAAAATTCAATAAAGATAATAGCATTTGGATATCATCAGTTAACAAAAAGTAGCCACAAACAATCTCATAATAAATTTACACAGTGAATAAACGAATTGTCCATTAAGAATAATGCAACATGTGATAAAAATAAAAGCATTTTGTCAGATATTTCAAGAATTCATCGTAAAAAAAAAAACCGGATGATATTTTGAAGAGATATAGAAAGCTGTCAAACATGAGAAATCTGGCACCGTTCACTTATAACTGTCACATTAATTCACATGTTATACATGCATTCATTTTTTCATTAGCACCTCAAATTACATCAAAAAGTGTCCCTTTCTATTAAAGAGAAGTTTGGCGTAACTTTTTACTTCACTCTTTACCTACTATGAAAAATTAAGATTAAATAAATGCATGTTGTGAAATTATACATTCATAAACAGATGAAAAAAATCACGAACAAAAGTAAGTACGCGATCATTTTTCGCACGCATAAATGAGAATTATTCTGATTATTCTTTGTGAGAATTTTTTTTTTCGCATGATACCGATTTTTTAAATATATTCTGCTAAATCTAAGATAGTTTCTTGCCAGCCTTAGATTTGTGTGCAGTGCAATTTTGTATGATGTAAATAGTAAAAGCATAAACCAAATTAGAAACTTTCCTGAGCTTTTCATATAAAGAAATTTCCAACATGAAAAGTTGGAAAAATACAATTAGAATTAGTTATATAAAATCACATAAAAAACAAATTAGTTTGTAAGTTAAAAGGAAATTCACCATTATTTTTAAGTATTACTTTGTTGTGCTGCTAACGGTATCAAAGACTCGTCTTTAATTTCATCCAAATCGTTTAGCTGACGATTTTCACTTATTCCTTTTCCATTCGTAACTAATGGATTATTTTTCTCCAGTACCATGCGTTTATAAGTTGGTTTGAAAAACAAAACTAGCACAATGGCTAGTAAGGCAGCTATTACCGACATTGCCTAAAATACAAATTAAAACAACAGCAATTAAAAACATAAATATGAATTAAAAGCAAGCTATACTGCACCCAAGCATAAATAGTAAAACTAAAGTATAGAAATAACCACCAAAAACCAGAACTGGGCTATATGAAGAACAAAAACACAAGTCAGGCTGTGGGACGTGCATTTCGTATATTATGTTTTAATTTAATTTAAAAAAAAAAATAGTAAAAATCAAATAAAATAAACTCACGATAACAGAGGTTGAGTTATCATGTGGTACAACAACAGAATTGGTCTCATCTTCAATTGTACAAACTTGAATATTTTTATATGATTGTTGTAATGGTCGCGCAAGTAAAGTCGTTATGGTTACGTAAATTATTGATTGTATCTGGAAGGTGTAAAATTCATTGTTCTTCAATTTTTTTTTAATTCAAATTGATTTTTTTGTCTAAAATCAGATGGAATTATTTAAGAGTTCTCAGACTTAATATTACTGAAGTCCTGAAGCATTAGAAATTACGGCACTTCATAACAAAGAAAGCATACCTGACCACTAAGTACTACAAAGCCTGATGAGGTTGTTTCAGACACCGGAAAAGTACACTCGGAGGCTAATTCCAAACCAACTGGATATGATGCAAGTCCGAAAACACCGAATAGAAAAGCCGTGATTGTAAGATAAATAGCGAGACCGGAATATAGAGATAACTAAAATGTGAGAGAATATGCAAAAATTTGCTGCTACTAAGGGCTTGAGATTTGCCGGAATCATTTAAATTATATAGAATGAGAAGAAATTGCATGAAAACTATAATTCCATGAAGCTCTGTTTTGAAGCATTTAACTCATATTTACCAGTTAGATTCAGACCAAACATTGCAATATCTTATCAGTTCGCCATAAACTACTACTAATGGAACGAACAACGTTCCATTACTTCAACATTCTAATCATAGCCGCTAACATATTGTAGAAGATCAAGTATCGCTTGAGAATTTTTTGAATACTGAAATATTACCTGCAAAAATGCAACCCCAAAAATGACAGCAAAAGACATACACACTTTCATGGTTTCTTCGTAAAGTTTGGTTCGGTCCACAAACATGCCTGAAGATAGTTTCAGTTTTCCATATTTACTAGAATATATGTTTAAAGATACGAAAGAAAAGAAAAAAAAAACCACCATTAGAGAATTTACCTGTATTTTTTAGAAGAAAGAAAATAAAATAAACAAAATGAGCTGTTTTGAAATGTCGAAAATTAGAAAGTACAAAACAAAATAACCTGAAAAAGTAGCTCCGAAAACTCCACCAATGATCATCAACGCAGCGCAAAATCCGGAGAACGAATTTGAATATCCTCTTGCACAAAATAACTGCTGTATGATGGTATATAGACAATTAAACATGCCAATACCGCCACCCATCACTATCAAAAGCAATATGTATGCTTTATTGGTAAAACATTGTTTGATTCCTGAAAAAATTACTTGAAATTGAACACGGATGTTAATCTTTTCTAATCAGGTGGAAAGCTTTCTCAACTTATTCGTATTTCTGGAATTGTCAGTACATTTTACATGTCTAAACTTAAAGAATTTGAACACCTTCTCCAAAGAAAACTTCTTTTCGTTAAAAAGTAATTATCAAAAATTGGTGCAATCTGGCACTGTACGTAATAATCTATAGAAGAATGACATATAAGCAATATAATCTTGCAATCATTTTTAGCAAAAAATGCATTCGGAAGAAGTGGACAATCGCGCAACGAGGAGCCTGCAAAACCTATAACATGAAACAGTTTTAAATCCTTTCTGTCTGAAATATTCTAAAACATTTGAATTGAATTAAAGCAGTAAACGAACCAGGAAAGAAAGGCATCTGTGGTTGAGCAGCACTTTGAGATGGCGGTATTTGTGGTTCCGACCGAGTTACGCAGAAAGTTGCTATGAAACAAGCCAACAAGGAAGGTACAAAAGTTAGAATGTTTACTTTTAATACCTGAAAATATGCTGATATTATTAATGAAATGTTACGTTATTATCTTAATGCAACAAAGATGAAGATAAAGGTCAATTCTTTGGATTTGTGATTAATTCCAGCAAATGTTAGTTCTTAGCCTCAGGAGATCTCATTTCTTACCCTCACAATATCGTTATATTCCGATGGATTTGAAAGACTCTTAAGGAAAGAAACTTGAGCCTCGACCTAACTGAAAATCTTACATCCTTTGGAGCCCAAACTATTTGGGGAGAAAGAACATTTGCCATCAGCACCCCCAACGGATTCGCCATAATTCCAATGGTTGTTGCTAAAGCTCTTTGATTTTCATCAAACCATGACCCCGCAACCTGAATTTACCTTTTGCCAATTTTGCATCATTAAAATATTGTTTTCCTGTAACTGGAACGAATATTAAAGAAAATTTGATCTGCATGAAAATGTAGCAAAATTTCCAAAAACTAACTTTTGGTGGAAGGAACATAATAAACGGATATGCACAAGCAGCCACTGCTTGTCCAAAAATCCCAACGGGGAAGCGGATATGCAGTGGCAAAAATGAACTAAAAAAAGTGTGGAAAATGTAAATGTATGTGTGTTTATAACGCTGATTAGATTAAGTTTGAAACTTCCAGGACAAAGTGAAAGAAGACTTCCGTCATCTCACTTCATAGATGTGAGTAAGAAGTCATAAATTTCAGCCTTATCCGAATTCAGTAAAATTATCCTCATTTCAGAAACAAAAAATAACACCCATAACTATCAACAGATCATCAAATGTACATATCCTTTAATAGTAATGTCAACGGTCGTAAAAAAGAATTACACCTGATAAGACGAATAGTACCACCAATACCGTTTGTCCAAGCTGCGATGAGAATGGCAAATCGAAGCCCGAACGAACTACTCATCCATATAGCGAAAAAGCCTACCGGTATTGTACAAATTATAAAAACCAGTGAAAACCAATTCGCTGCTTTGTTCTGCAAAATAACAGCTGATATGTAAAGAACGCAAACAAAGAAGGCATCGGATAAGATAAGCTTTTCTTCGTGACCTTAAAGTTAATAAAATGAAACCTAATAGCATTAGAAATATTCAAAATATTCTAATACAATGTGATGCACAAAAAAACTTCCAATAAAGCAAGTCTTTATAATCAATAATCGAGTTAATTTTCTCTTTGATCTTCATATCTGAATCATGATAGTTATAAATTACTAGTACAAAGTTAGTAAAGAAACGAGAAATCTAACTCACCATTCCATAGAAAGCATCGACATAATTGGAAATAGAAGCAAATGCAATCCATGACACTGTATTTGAATTATTCAATAATGCAACAACTGCTAAAACGATCCAACGCTGTGGATAAACTCTGCAAACCCCAATAAAAAGTTAGCTTGAAAATTTTCAGCCCGAAATATTAAATTTGACAGGAAAGTAGTTGCTACCAGGCTAGCACATCATAACAATTATTTCTGGACATATAAGAAATATCTATATACTATTCCTACATGAAAACTCACCGATAGCTTATTCGATGTTCTGCTGGATCCACCTCCGACATTCTGCCTATAAGTTTACTTGCATATTTTGGTTCAATGTTGATTGTTCTATCCTTGCTATCATCCTGAAAGTATTTAACTGATGCTCTACTCTGACAACAGTTGCTTTTTCCTATATCCATTCCATGTCTTGCAGAAAGAAATTTGTCACAAAGTAAAATATGGTCCAAATAAAAAATTTTCTATCAAAGTATGACATGTAATCGGCTCAAAAAAACAGAAATCAATTGAATGACTTGAAAGCTGCCTTAGCAAAGGAAAATATACATAGACATTAGAAAATTAGTTCGTTCTCCAGTAATCTAACAAAATTTGTAAATTTATTCAAAATTTCTAAGCTTCAAAAATAGTACAAACAAGCAAACAACCTTAGTATCACTACCGAATTTTAGTGAGGAAAACACTGCACGATCGGATCCTTTGCTTAGCAAATTTTCGGCGTCTTCGTCCATAGTCTGCAAGTAAAAATTTATTGGAAATCTACTTGTTTTCGCTTCGAATCAAGAAAACCGAATCTTGGAAGACCAATCTCGATTCTAAAACTTGTTAAATAATTAGATTTAAAGGAATTTGAAATCGTACCTAAAAAATTCACGAAATGGGTGGAGAAGATATTCTGAGATACTGCGAAATGACTATAAAAGTTATTTGTAATGGAAAATTTCTCCCATATTCAATATGAAGGTCGATAAAAAAATTAGAAATAAATTTGCTTGCTAGTGGAAGGGAAAACAAAAAATAAGTCATCACTAAAATAATAAATCATCACTAAAAAAAAACTAAAATAATAATCAAATTAAACAATCGACAAGAAGAGGAAGAAAGATCAAGAACTAATTGTAGGAAAAGTTGTAGCCGGTCAATGTTACAATGTAACATATACATCAGCTACATCTCATGATGTAACACACCATCTATAGCTGAAATATAATGACAGGCGGAATAATAGACATGTAAGCAATGCAAACAGGTGATGTAACAAATATTTGTATAATCAATTAAAGACAAAAATAATTTAAAGCATGCAACTTTATCATTTGCCTGACTTCTAGCTACCAGCTTCCATGTAGAAAAAAGATTATTAGGTCACGTTAAGCTTTAGGAAAGGTATGCTCAGTAGGAATCTTAAGGAATGTCAAATCTAAGCAAAATTAATAAATATTTCAGAAGTTTCAAGAAAAAAAAATATCTCCCAAGCTAACGGAGAGTTGAATTTTGCTTACCATTAAATTTGTTATTATCTCGGAAAGGTTTTACTTTTGCATCATCATTCTTGCTATTTCAATCCTTAGTCTCTGGCACAACTACCACTCCACGCTATTTCGCCAAGTTCTAAAATTTCTGCAACTATATTTTTATTGACTTGTAATAGTAGTAGGAAGTGAATTTTGAAAAATGTTTCAACCATTGAAGCAAGCTATTATAAAATGTCTTGCTATCTTTGTCGTCTCTTCCCGATCATCTATTAACGCACATCTCTGAATGACTTACTTTCTGAATATCTTTATTTGTCTCACATTTTTACATAAACTCTTCCCCCCCCCGTCTGCACACCAGCGAACCAGCCAGCCGCCTTCGACAGATTTTAATGCTTTGCACAGATTTTCACAAGCGCTATTCGAATGGGCTACGGCCGTATTTTTAGCTTGTTAATTGTTGATAACTGACCGTACCGGGCTATTTGATTTATTTTTGGGTGCGATTGCAGTAAACATGGTGAGTTGTTAAAGTGTTTCTTTTCTTTTCACTTTATTATCATACCTTTGTCGCTTATACTCTTCAAATGATATCCTTCCACTATTTTGTACATTTTACTGCTCCTTGATGAGATGCTTCCCATTCAATTGATTCATTTTAAATGCTAATCGATTCAGCAATTATCTACCAAAGTTAATAAATATCACTCTTTGTGGTTTCAAATTATCGTTTATCAATACTCTTAGCAGTTGCATCGTGAATACAAAAGTCAGCAATGGTAATTTTTCCCAAATAATTGTTTAATTTTATAAAATGTTTGGAGACGTATTTCATCTTTAAAATTGTTACAGCCTTCAAAGAAAATCATCAAAAAGAGAGTTGCTCCTCCGCCACCGATGGCGAAGAAATCGGAGGCACCAAAAAAGGAGCAAAATCCTCTATTCGAGAGACGACCGCGCAATTTTTCAATAGGTGTGGATTGATCTTTTGGTTTTTCAGTAATGATTGATCTTTTGGTTTTTCAATATGTGAACGTAGTTTTGTGTTAAGTACAAAAAGTGGATGATTTTCTTCATTTGCAGGTCAAGACATTCAGCCAAAACGAGATCTAACTAGATTTGTACGATGGCCCAAGTATGTTCGTTTGCAACGTCAGAAGGCTGTTTTGATGAAGCGTTTAAAAATTCCGCCACCAATTAATCAATTCCGTACAACGCTTGACAAACAAACGGGTAAATTCTAGTACTAGTTGATATTTTTCTCATTTAGTATTTTTGCAAATGAAAAACCGACTATTTGTTTCTCGGCCTACCGTTACTATCCGTCGTCTCATAACGTTAATTTTTTACCGTTATTTAGTTTTATTTGATAACATTTCTGGATAAGCACTACTGCCCGTCATCTCATAACATCAATCCCACCAATTTTTTTTATCGTTCAAATTTCATCTGATAGAAAAGAAGAGGTCTTGTTTGATACTGTTCAAAATTAGAGAGGAAATCGATATTTTTGGTATCATCGGTTAGTTTTCAAGATCCGAATTTTAGATGAAATTCGAAATTTCGAATTTCTGCCAGATTCGTGGTATTTCTCATCTACTTTGTTTTTTGCAGCCACACAACTGTTCCGTTTGATGGATAAATATCGTCCAGAAACAAAGCACCAAAAGATGCAACGATTAAAAGCGCGTGCAGAAGCTCGGGTAGCAGGCAAAACTGAAGAAGTAACAAAACGTCCACCAGTGGTTCGTTCAGGTGTAAACCATGTTACGAAACTTGTAGAACAGAAGAAGGCACAGTTGGTTGTTATTGCGCATGATGTTGAGCCTATTGAAATTGTTCTTTTCCTTCCAGCACTTTGCCGTAAATTCAAAGTGAGTCCCAACTTCTTTTTGTTGAACTTTTCTGCTCAGCTGATTTGGTTTTTTATTTTTTTATAGCCATGTGTATTTATCGACACTTACAAGTCTCGAAAGTTAGGCTGTCCAATCGGAATCGATTACGAAGTAAACTATTTCCAATATTGTCCATTAAAATTAAGTCTTGGAACTTTACAGGTACCATACTGCATTGTCAAAGGAAAGGCGCGTCTTGGTCAAGTTGTTCATCGAAAGACTACTTCTTGCATTGCCATCGTTGATACGAATCCGTAAGTGTAGTATATTATCTTACATGTTAAGAAACTCAGTGTGCAAAGTTTTAAGAGATTACACAAATATCTATAGCTCGAGTAGATGTCTTCCTATACTACTTCTCATCATGGCAAGCTCGTGAGCGTCTCATTCCGCGCATTTAGAACTAAATGTGCACCTGTAGCATATTTCTGTATTTTGAAATGTAGCAACTTTGTATTGGATTCTGGTGATTTCTTGATTTCATAAGCATTTATGTTAAATATGTTGAAGTTTGCAGTGAGGACAAGATGGCTTTATCGAAATTGAAAGACACAGTAATAACGAATTATAACGAACGCGCTGATGAGATCCGAAAACATTGGGGAGGTGGTATTATGTCGGCTCGTTCACAGGCAAAGAAAGCACGAATCGAAAAAGCACGAGCCAAGGAACTTGCACAAAAAGCCTAAATGGTTCACTTAACGTTCCTTTCTTTTTTTAGTTTATTGGAATAAAATTGTTGAGTCTGTAAGCCTTCGATCCTACCCAAATACTATCTTTTTTCACATCAAATTTTTACACCATTCATGGTGGAAATTTTAGAGCAGTTTGTTGTTTGCATGAATCGAGTCATATAAAGAATTTCTATTTGTAACAAAAATGAATGAAGCAATGATAGATGCAAGTTTCACCTTGTCTGGTTCTTATGTCCAGCAAAAAATGCATCAAAGTTGTGTAGCGTTGTATTGGATCAGGGATGAAGCGTTTTTTTCAGTCGTAGGAGCAAAGAATTGGGATATACAAGTGAAATATTTCGGATATCATGCAAAAATATTTAAACTTTATTCAGTACAAGTCATAAATGATGAATCAGCGATTCCTGAAAGCATATTCTTCTGTGTTCAATATTGAACTTTCTCTTTTTCAAATTCTCGATTTTGCTGATCTTATTTACCATATCTTCAGCTATCTAAAAATTAATGCACCAGTACACCTTTATAGCCAAAAAGTTCATTTTTTTCAAATAAGAACGATTCTATCAAAAAACACGCAAATACGAAGACCTTAAAAGTTACTTGCCGCTAAGTGTTTCCAACTTAACACTTGGGGAGCAGAACCTCAAGTCAATAACTTCATCATCAGGCACAAATACATCACCGATCTTTTTCCATTTATTATCTTCTGTGAAACCAAAGAGCAACTAAAATTAATCTTGTAAAAAATGGATAGAAAAAAGAGCACTGGAGAGTAAAAGCCAGTGAAAATGAGATATAAACATGAAACGTTATAAAGTTGCCATTCGCTTAGTTTGTTTTTATTTCACCGTCAACACTGTCAAATATTGCACATATTCACAGCATTTAATGAAAAATTTTAATTTTCTTAAAACTACCTTTCCACCTTTCATTTCGATGAATGTGTTTAAATCATCGAACAAAAGTTTTTGTCGTCCGGCTTTTTGCATAACAAGTTTCGCTCCAAGAATTAATTGACGAATTGCTTTGGAAACTTCTTTCAGTAATAATGTAATCACCTTATCATTAGCGACTTTGTCACGCAAGATCGGATAACTTAAAAAGAGGAAGTTATATCAAATCATAGAATATTACTCTTAACTTGCGAGGTTTCTGAACGGAACCACATTACACTAAAACCATATATCTCGAAATAAACAGAAAGAAAATACATATTCTAAATAAAAAGGGCTTATCATTCAAACATCTGTGGATCGATTCCAGCTATCGTCAAGATTAAAGCTATTTTCCAAATTGCTACCAGGCATATAAATAGGGTTGCCGATAGCAACAAGACAAACCTCAATGTAGTAGCAAAATTCCAAAAAGAGTCATGATTTAGTGTTATACTACCATGTTCCTCATCATTCACAACCTATAACAATCATTAAATAGGCGATTGAAACAATTAGTTTTGGCCAATAGCATAATGCTCAAATTCAAATTCCTAATCATCATATGCATGATAAATTAATTGTCGCCTTGCATACCTGAGATGAAAGTGAAGATTTTTCAGCAATCGATAACTTGCAGGAATTTTTGGGAACGGTCACCTCCTTTTGCATTACTCTGCTCTAAAAATTATACTTCCAAATGATTAAGGAAAGTTTGCAGCACAAAAAGAAGTTATATCATACTCTGTCAAAAATACACTTATCAGCAAGATAATTTCAGAATCAATGAACCAACTGACCCATATGAATAAATACATATAAGATTTAGAATCATCTGATAAACGACTATTTAGAGGGGCTGTATACAAACATTTACCCTTTTAGAGCTTAAATTAGATAATGATTTTGAGTTGTCCAGGGAAATACTGCAAGGTTCTCGAATTTTTCTCGAGGTAGATGGAATATCTAAATCAAATTAGCTAGTAATTAAAGAAACATGAAAAGTAGAAATCAAAGAATGTATGCAATCTTTAACGGATCCACTATACACTCACCCTTAATTCAGTTTTTTAATGGCAGATTACGAATAACTAATTAAACTGATGCATCTTTACAACAATAGTGATAAATCATACTAAGTGAATTGTTATCATCAGCGGATGGACTGTACGTTCGTTTCATCTTCCGAATCCGATTACTTGTTCGTCGTGTCATTTCACTGTTCGGAATCATTTTATCGCTAATATCGGAATGCTTTCAAAATGGAACTGAACTCAGCAAACCAGACAGCATGAAGCCTTGCCTCACAACAACCGAATGCAAAGAGACAACGAGTAGCGATTAATGTTTTTAAGCGAAAGCATTTGAACAAAATTCTATGAAATTGTTATTTCCCATTCCTTCAGGATTTCGTGGTACACTTCTTCCGCGGGATTGTTTATCAGATAAGAAAGTGTAGTAGTAAATAAAATGCTTAGGTAAGAATGTATGACTATTCAATCAATTAAATCAATAACTATTCAATCAATAACTATTCAACCAATTAAGGTTATATGGGTATTTCTAAGTAAGTTTAAATGTGTACTTCCATCTTACTTTATTATAATATAAGCGAGAAAGAATGATTATATAAATCATCAGCGGAAGTATAATGTATAAATGATAATGTCGTTGATAGTTAAGAACAAATGCTACATTATAAAAAGATCATTTGGAAGATAAAGGATATTTCAATTAGCAAATGAACAGATCAAACAATTTTTATCACTGTATGCTAAAAGTATGTAAGTCAGTATTCGCTTTATTTCGAATGTTTAAACGATAACTGCTATGACTTTTTATGTAAACAAGGTAGCGCAATAATGAGCAATAAAAATAAATTTAATTTAGCGATTGAACGGTACTGATATGATAAGATCGATCTCGTCGTCAATAGTGTAATATATTCTAAAGATATTTTTGATCAAAAAAAAAGAAGTGAATATGATACTGATTGATATAAATCATTCAATCATCTTTGATTTTCAATGTAAATTTTTTACTTCTCTTACAAGAAATATGAATGATAAGGCCAAGAGTAAGGCCTTTCAGATCATATTTGCCTTCTTCACTTCTGCATGAAATGAAATAACAAATTCACGATATTTCAATGGTAATTTTGCCTGAAATGTATAATTATGAAATATACTGGAAAGAAGCTTATCAAATAATATTTTCAGGATATTATAAAAAGTTGATTATCTTAGAAGTATTGACAGATTTCTATGTATGATCAATTTAATGACTAATTATTGAACTTTTGAAATCGTACAACCTGGAATTTTTCATTTTAATTTTTTTCAGAATTTTTACTTCATTAATTTTTGTTTTATTTTCCTCTTAATTTTTTAATCTTAATCATAATCTTAACCTTAATCCTAATCTTAATCTTAATTTAGTTAATTTTCAATCTATGCTCATTTCAATTTCACTCTTACTTTAATATAATCGAGTACAGTAGTATAAATGAACACATATTGTGCTTCATTTTGTACGCTTGATGCACGCTGTCCTCTCATTTCTTTAACAACTTGTGATACCTAAATTTTTTGGAGAATTAATTTTTGCAATTTTCGTCTATGATTATGTTGTAGAGTTTCTTATTCTACTTGCTCATTGCATCAACTTCAGGATCAGGATGCATTCCGGTTTCACTACCAAAATTAGTCAGAATGATTCCGGTGAATGTGTCAATAAAAATGCAATTATTCAATAGAAGAAGAATTAAATTTTATCGATTTAAATTTAACCAATTTAATCTTACATTTAATGGTTGATTTTTCCAGAGACGTGATAATAATGTATCAATTGCTACCACAGTACCGGTACGGCCAATACCAGCAGAGCAATGAATTATGGTGGTAGAATTCTAAAATAATTGCTTGAAATTAGTGAGATCGAAAATGAATCAGCTAAGCATTCATCACCATCACATAGTATCAAAAAATCTAATTAAGTGGAAATGATAGAATAGAGAATTGCAAATTAACCTTAAATTCTTCAGATATCATATTTGTCTAAATAATTAAAAATGATTTGAAATTTTGGATAGCTTAAAAATAAAGAATGAACAAATAAAAATTGCTCTCAATGAATACAGTAGGCATCATTCGAATTAGCCTTAATATGGACATTCCACTTTGTGGTACACCACGATCAGGCCAATCCATCATATGTATAAGTTTTACGATAGTTGAATTTGAACAACCTTCTGGTAGCACTTCCAAAAGATAGGTGTCAAATTTATCCTCATGTTCAGACTGCAAAATAATTTTTGAAGTAAATAATTATGATTTATTCATTGTAAAATATTTATGCATTAATCAACTTTTAGTTAAATTTATTCTAAAAGACAATTGAAATTTTGAATAAATAAAATTTCGAATAAATTAGAAATGAGGCAAATGAGAAACAAAGTGTAACTGAGTTGCATCACTATTTTTCTTATTCTTTTAGTAATTACTTATATGTTACTCTTATCTGGTCATATAATCAACTTCTAGAATGATACATTAAAGCATTATCAGTTATCAAATTATACTTTGATTTCTTTTTCAATTAATTACTTATCTGATACTCTTATCTGACCATATAATCAGCTTCTCGAATGATACATTAAGGCATTATCAGTTATCAAATTATACTTTGATTTCTTTTTCAATTAATTACTTATCTGATACTTTTATCTGACCATATAATCAGCTTCTCGATTGATACATTAAGGCAATATCAGTTATCAAATTATGCTCTTTTAGTACAATGATAATATATATATCAGTATTTGTAAGTGATGAAACTTTGTTTGAAATCTAAACAAACCCGTTTATTCATGACAAACATACAACCATAAGTTTTATTTTCACCATTTTCTGCAGGCCAATATTGGAAACATTTTGGTTTGCCATCTTCAATTGTCTTACATAACATTATAATTGTTGTAATTTGTTCTTGATGTACCATACGCCAAAAATCGCTTGCAGTTGATTCGAGTGGACCCTATGATTGGAAATTTTTAAAATGTGGAAAATAAAAAATAATCATTATTGAATTATCATTATTGATTAACTAATCATTTTAATTACATTATTATTTTATAATTTACACCGTTCAGCTTTTGAATTATTTTCTTTCTAATTAAAGAAATATAATTGAATATATCAGTTAATATATAACTCTCTAATTCCTAATATTATTTGAAGAAGTTAAGGATATTTAATTTTGAATATAATTAGTATACCTGTGAACAATTATTTCGATTAACAACAAAGCAAGATTACTTATATGATATACAATAGAAGCAAAAGATACTTTTATAGAAGGGAAAATTGAAATTTCATTAATTTTTAAATTAAGCTTAAAGTAAGATTTGGAATTGATGATATAATGATATTTGTACAATTATTATCAAATTATCTTGCTTCTAATTACCTTTATTAATTAATGAATGAATCCTTCTGAAAATATTGAAATAAAATAGCTATTTGAAATTTTTAAAAAATTTTTTTGAATTCCTAAATTCTAAAATTAAATTACCTAAAATGAAAAGTAATAAGTTATTGCAATTATTTATTTGCAATCTTAAATGTGATATTTTTTTAATTTTTAAAATTATATAAAAAATTTCAAATAATGATATAATTATATAATTAATCTTACCTGTGTAGCAATATATTGATGATCACCACCTTCCATTTTCAACCAATTTGCATGTATATAATCAGTTTCAGGTGGAACATTTAGTGTTAAAACAACTCTAAAATTTTATCCTAATTCTTATTTCATTTTTGATTTCTTTTTTTATTTCAGGTAGTTGTGATTGAAAAGAGCATTTCAAATGATAATAAATTATCAATCAACTATTTATCATCAAAATTATCACTGTATCATTCTGCTAGAAAGATTTGCTTGAGTATACAATTCGATTCCTTTTATTTTAAATTCATCAATAATTTCTTAATTGAATTTCAAATTTCAATCATTTTATACTTCAACAGCAAATTCAACCCTTTATCATTAAAATTATCAGTGTTATCATTCTGCTAGAAGGATTTGCTTAGGTATATAATTCGATTCGTCTTTTTTTAAACTCGTAAATAATTTTTAATCAAATTTTAAATTTCAATCCTTTAATACTTCAACAGCAATTTCAACTATTTATCATTAAAATTATCAGTGTTATCATTCTGATAGAAAGATTAGCTTAGGCAATGCTTAAACATTTAATTCCTTTTTTTTTTTAAATTCATAAATAATTTTTTAGTCAAATTTTAATTTCAATTCTTTTATACTTAACTATTGTGTTCTAAGTTATTTCTAAGGTTATGATAAATACTCGAAGATAATATTTTGAAAAGATGAAACAACCGTGTAACATCTAGACAAGGTACATCACGATATCGATTTTTAGATGAATTCGCTGTAAATGCCTGATATGTATTATTTGGTGGTACATACATTTTTAGCTCTTCAAATTCTCGTCGTAGACCGGCAAGTCCTGGAATTTTTTTCTGAGAGAAATTTTATATAGCGAAATACTATTTTCTAATTTCTCGAAATGGAATATTTACAAATAATTGTTTTATTGTTTTTTTAATTCGAATTTTTATCCATATAAGATTTCCTCTTTTGCTTCTAATCATTTCAATTATCTAATAAATAATATATTTACACATATAATGTTTTAGTTTTTAATTTAATTTCAAGTTTAAAATCAAAATTTTTATTGTTTAATTAAATTAATTAATCCAATTAATTAAGCAATTATCATTTAAATCTTTTCTCGTATATTGAAGAATATATATCTTTACAAACCTATTGTTCTAACATAGTTTTACTATATTTGCACATATAATATTAGTTTTTAATTTAATTCCAAAATTTTTATTGTTTAATTAAATTAATTAATTCAATTAATTAAACAATTATCATTCAAACATTTTATGTATATTGAAGATATATATCTTTACATACCTGTTGTTCTAACATAATTTACATAATCATGAATTAATTTTTCCATTTCAATGGTCACTGGTCTGCCACTTTTTTTACGGCGTACAGTTTTCTATAAATTTCATTTCATAAATTTAAATCGATTTAATTTCTATTTGAGTAATAGTTTATTATTATTATTATTATTATTATTATTATTATTATTATTATTATTATTATTATTATTATTATTATTATTTAGGTGATCATCTGCAGAGTAAAGAATTAACAGCTGCACCATAGCACTTCAAATTACGATTATATCGTGGACGCAAATGGATCGCTGATGGAAGTTTTTGAATTAAG